GCAAAAAAAAAACAGGCTTTTGCCCTATATTAACTGTATGTGCGGCGTTGCTCCTACTCTACACCCAGACATACACCCCCTAAAATCCTTAATACTTATATTATAACTTTATTATTACTATACTTGACAAATTATTACTATTACCTTCCAGTATCCTTATATTAACTAATGTTCTACTTCCTCTAGTAGTAGTAGTAGTAGTAGCCCATACTCCATTAGGATCATGAGGACTTATCTTTTGCCCAACTATGGTGTGCTTTATTAGCATCACAGTACATAGTATCAATACGTACTCGGGGTTACGTTTGTTAGCGGAATCAACCTAACATCTTACGACACGAACTGACGATAGCCATGCAATACCTGTAATACACTAATAGTAGTAACTATTGATTTTGTATTATACAAGGAGAGGTAAGGTTCTTCGCGGATTATCGAATTAAACAACATGCTCCACTCCGGGTCTTAGGGATGGTCTAATCTTTTTGCTTTCAGTCTTGGGACTGTACTTACAAGGTGTTACACATACAGCAGTTGGCTGTCAAGCTGTCTATTAATAATAAAGTATACCTTTATAGACAACAGATAGGTGTAAATAGTTTACAGTTAAGACTACTTGGGTATCTAATCCATTTTGCTACCTTAACTTTCATCCCTCAGCTTCAGTCATACCTAGACAATTGCCTTCGCCATGAGTGGTCCACTGGGTATCAATGAATATCAACTCTACTCCCAGTATTCCATTGTCTTCTATTAGACTATAGTAGTAATATACCGCCTACGGATCCTTAATACCTATTGAAACCATTTAACGTTAGCCTAGTTCTTAATCATGAGGTATACAGTATTGTTTAGACTATCTCTTCAATTTTATTGATTGTTGGTACTCGGGCTAAGATTATTACATATAATGTTCACTTAGTAGTCGTTGAACGGGGTTACTAATAGTATTTATCCGATGCAGGTTATTAATAATTTACTTTCCTACAGTTATTTCCAATTATATTTGTGGGCTCAATTAACCCAACTCGCGTACCGCTTTAATCGGCGAACAGCCGAACCCT